TCAAAAATAGATATTCATACTAAAGAAAAAAAATCACATTAGATGTACATTAAAGAAAAAAGTAATTCATATGAAGCCGGTCATTCAGAAAGAGAGTTATAATACATGTCAGGATACAGCTGAAGTCATACTTTCCTGCATGCACATTAGTTTTTAACAGTTGAGATTGCAATGGATAGTTAAAAAGAAGATTACAAGAAGAGTGACTTCGCGAGTCAACCAAATGATAAACGACATTAGCTCATCTTGAAATTTTAAAGGCTATTTTTCTGTCCTTTCTTCACTGGCCAGAACCTGTGAACATATGGTACTTTTATTCAGCGTTCTCACCAATACTGAGGGGTTCTTGAAACAGATCCTGCCTGCAAAGCCTAATCCAGGTTCCAGAATCTATTTAGAGGGCAAGAGGACTTCACTTCTATGGTTATTCGGAGCGAAGTCCTGTCAGCTGACGTTTATGCATTTTGACACACTAATTGCAAAAGCAACTGGCATAACCAGTTCTGCTCAAGCAGGATTCCTGAAGATGACTGGTACAAAAGAATTACCGGGTTATTCATGAAGAGGCTGAACACCAGCCCAGCTGCAACATTTAATTCTCACGCACCTCAGTAAAAATATAGAACCTTGCCATGTCTTACACATACAAGTTGCACAAGTGAGTGATGTTAAAATAGTATTTTACAGAACTTGAGTTTTACGTACTCAAAACATGCCTGACTTTTCTTCTTCCCAGTTGAGGTCAGAGGGGAGAAAAAAAAAAAGAATGTAAAAGCTGTTTCTCCTTATAAATTGTGCCCAGCTTAGTTGTTTAGGTCCAATCATCTTTAGGCACAACATAAGAGTGTTCATCTTGGGACTAACGACTAAATTTTGAAGGATTAAGAGTTTACTTTTATCAGAACAAGGCAGGAAGGAAATAAGAACTGCTAATTCTAGAAACAATTTAATCACTTCGCAGTTCAGCTATCTCTTTTTCCTCGCTCAACCTGCAAACATTTCTCAAAATCATATTGTTTCTTGAAAGTTTCTGCAGTCCCAGATGAGATTCTCTCATCTGGACAGTATCAGAACTATGCACAAAAGGACCGTTTTTAAAAACACTATTCCCTGCATACAAGTGTGTACATTCATCTTCAACAAATTTGCAGTTCCATTTTACCCAATTTAAAATAATTTTTAAAAGCCACATAGGAAAGGTATCAGAAGATGCAGCCACAAGCACATCAATGAACTTGTTACAGAAATTTACGGCCAAATTTATGGAATGGTCACAGGGCTCCAATTAGCTGACCCAGAATTTCTCTGATGTCAGTCCAGCAGCAAGAGAAGCCGACCTGTGCGGGCTGCCCGATGACTCGGTCCCCTCATTCATGCACACAGGAGGCTTCCTGCCCAGCCAACCCGGAGAGACCGATCTCCCTGGGTATGTTGAGCTTGAAGACAGATTAACACCTACAGATGGGCTACTCTGTAGCACCTCTAAGAACCCAGAGGATTTCCTAAAATCTGCACAAGTGACATGAGAAAATATAATCAAACAAAGATCACAATAAAGAAATTAAAGTCACCTTTCCTCCAAGTTCCCTTTCAGAATTAGCTTGGCCCAAGATTTTGCTAACAGGAACACTGATAAAAAGCCCATGTGTATCAGGCAGATGCAGTCCTGCTGCCTCTGTGCTGGTGAGCATCTTACAACAAGATTGCGAGCTGACAGTTTGCAGAAAGCCATGGACTCCATAGTACAAATTATTAACCTTCTTTCGAGGAAAAAATATATTTAAGTCAAGTCTGAGCAGACATACAATGCCAGGGCTCTTGGTCAATAAACAGCCTCTGTTTTGAGTGCCCAGTTAATAAACCCAGCCCAGCAGAGGTGAGAACTAGAATAGGAGGAGAGCGCTAAGCTCAAGAGGAAGGCACATGAGGCTTCGCCAGGTCCTTCCATTTGGCCAACTTGGAAAGCGAATGTAAAAATCCCATCAGGCTTCTGCTGCCAGCAGATATGTGTGAAATCTTTCATAGAGCATCAAAAATCTCTTCAGTACAAATGCAGTAAACACCCAAGAGGTAGAACAGCAGAGTTCAGGGGCATGTCAGGGCACCTCTCTTTTGTGGCCATCATTAGCTGCAAGACTGCCAGAGCAGAAAAACCCATGAATGAGATCAGATAGCCCTGCGCATACACAAGGCAGAAGGAACAGAAAGTTCTCCGGGTGGAAAGCTTCATCCACGACACCTGTGCCCAGCACCACATTAGCAGTATCTGGTTCTCATCAAAAAACCTGCACAAGCCCAGACCTGCAACACAACCAGAAATTCCACGACAAGCTGGCAGGTAACTGCTGCTACAAGTCACTTCGTTAGCTCAAGAGATCAACAGACTGCAGGATTCAACCCTGATTTCCCAAGATGCCAGATAACAGCTCACACTTCTCCCCTACAGTTTGCTTTTCTCTATGCACACAGGAGGTTGTATGCAACACTGTGCCAAATGAATGTTTCATTTCTGAATCAGCCCCTTCCTGGGGGCTAGGTGGTTCTGTGTACTCAAGTGCTCTGCACATGCTTGCCACAACTGCCCTATTGGCATAGGAAATGTTAAGTGTTGAAGTACACAACCAAGGTACCGAACTTCAGACTCCAAAACAGCCACGAACTTCGCATCCACGAAGGGTCCAATTCCCAGGGCACGGAGCATCATAAGAGGATTTCGCACTGTCCAGGTGTAGCTCTCATCACAGTCTGCTTGAAAGGAGCCCCAGCACCCCTGAAAATGAAGCCCCATTACAAGCAAGGCACACAGAAGCACCCACAATTCACAGTGGCCTATAAAAAAAAGCAGAACCCAGTTTAGACATCTTCCTTTGCTCCCCATAGGAACTTTGTGCAACTGCAGACACTGGAATCACCTACAGGTCACTTATCTTCTACCCTAGTCACAGTCACCTTCTTCCCCACCTCCCACATTTCATTGCAAACTTTCAAATTTTTTTCAATACATGAAATGAGGTCCTTCCAGACACCCACTCATCTGTGTCTGGGAATAACACACACCTCGAGGCAGAAACATTGCCCAGAGCATTTGTTCTCTGGTGCCTTTCTTCAGAAAGGGGAGGGACGGCTGTCAGCCCATGTAGGCCATCCTAATAGCCACATGCTGCCACCTTCTCCACCCAGCCAGTTCTCTGGGCCCAAGCCAGGCGCACAAACGAGATGAAGGGCTAAAAGCAGCCTCTGAGCAGGAGAAACCTCTGCAACATCAGTGCCACTTTGGGGCTGCCAAAGCGACCTGTATGGGAGGGCCTATGCTGGAACATGCTTCTGGACACTTTTGGATGGGGCACAGTCATTAGCCAAGTTTGAGAAATTCTGCATTTCAAAAACAGCTTCAGGAAAGTCACAAGGGAAGAGCTGTTATCCAGGAGGAATGAGAACTACGGTTTAGCACTTGCAGTCCTGCCAGAAACGCACTAGTGGTTGAATGCCATAGCACTTAATTAAGAGCTACTTCCTCCTCGCTCCAACAAATTTAACACAACCAAAGTTGCAATGTTTTAGGAATACTCCATACCCAAAATTCAGAAGAGTTTGGATCCTAATGGAAAAACACCTTCAGCAGCAGAAACGATTGTGAAACAACTTCAGCACCAACTCTTCAAAGGAATGGTCACTACCATGAAGCACACTGTTTCATATCAAAGTACCGCAACTACGAAGCCTCTTCAAATTTGCCATCAGAAGATCCCTGGTGACCACTGCAGAACTGCTCGTTGTCTCCAGACAAACTATAGGCAAGAATCTGGACAGCTGACCAGGAAGAAACATTTGTTAAGGTGCTATTCTTCATATAAGTTAACAGCCTCACTGAGAAGACAGGTTATTTGATTCACCAGCTATGCGCTTGGGTTTGTCTGAAGTAACATGAATATAACATTTTGTTCTATCTTCAATAACATTATAATTCTATAGCTTCAGAAATGATAAGCTAAGAAAGGAAGAAGTGGATTTCATTTTATATTTATAAATGAAATCACTTACAACCCACTAAAGGACAGCGGGTAAAGATTCTGTAAACCCTCTTCCACAATAAAGAGCCTGTCTAAAATATAAAAAGCCATGGATTTAATAAACTCACTACTGGCATACACAAGTTTCACAAACATCTACAAGTCAGCAACAAGCCTAGTTAAGCTACAATGAAGAAAAGAAGAAGAAACTTAAACTTGGGGGGAAGGAATCTGATGCTTTTTGAGGCTTTTTTCTATTCACTTTAAACCATTTCAAGACATATGCCATAAAACATATACCATAAAACATATGCATTTTAAAATAGACAAGAAAAAAAAAGAAAAAAGAAAAAAGAAAATCCAACTATCCCACTTACCCTCCCCCTGAAATATATCACATCAGTATTTCAAGTCAGCAACCAAACTTTCAAATTTTCAACAAGAAAAATTTCACCCCCAGCCAGCAAACACTCCAGAAAACATAGAATGTGTGAAACGAGCCTGACAACAGAAACTTCCAGCACTTTATTGTATTAAATTCTACCCTGGTTTGAAATATTTTAAATTATCTTTGAGCACGCCCCAGCAGCAGAACACTATTCCCTTTCAAATAATATGTTATATATGGGCCTATAATACCAGGATTATAAATTGTTATTATAGTAGAATATGACAGAAAGGAGAAAACTGAAAAATACTCAAAATACATACTAAGTTTGGTTATAAAAAGCAAACATCATTCATATACTTTGAAGATTCACATAAAATGCTTTATACCAAACTCCATGATTTTGTAGGACACATTCTTTTGAATGGCACTCTATATTGCAATAGAAGCAAAAAAGTAAGAAGGATCTTTGATATTATCCAAGAAATTGTGTATCTATCCTCAAACAAACCAGCTTCACAGTCAATACACAAATCATAAGTTTAACTAGCATTAGCCATTTTGCATTCACCATCAACCTTAAAGCAGACTTCGGCATCTACCTTTTGCAACTTCTTTGGATCTTTCTGGGAGTTTTCTCTGACGGGTACTTTTCCAAACAACTTCCATCCCACATCACTTGGTTTTTCAAGTCTTGCATTTTGCTTTCTGGTAAACAAGTTCCTACAAAAATAAATAAATAAGAAAAAGATTTGCTTAGTTCTAAAAGTTAAGGGCAGGCAGTTTGCCAACCTTATCTATCCCAACCACGTATTCCAGTTGCCTTTGCAGTTGTGCTGGCACGAACCAGTGCTCATCCCCAGGAGCTGGATTATGCAGTGTGAACACCATGCTACACAGAGTTGGTTAAACAAGAATTTCTAACAGATAAAAACATCTGTTTGTAATTTCCTAAAAGGAACCTTCTATTTTTTCTTCGCTCTTAATCACTTGCTTCAAGAAAGACTACTGAACTAAATCCCTTACAGTGTAAACATTTTCTATATGTCTTGCCATTACAAGAACACTATCAAAAAAAGAGAACCACAAAAACTATTGCAGACGTAGCAGTCTTTCATTGTATTTGATCCACTCACATAAAAAAAGTTCTTTTTTTTTTCTGAATAACCTTAAAAGCAGCTGTCAAAACATATGGATTTTGAAGTCTTTCAAACATCTCAAATTAACCAGCTTATACACTATAGTAAAAGGCTTAACTTTCTTAAGAAGCTAAACAGTATGGGCTGATGAGGTCCTAGCAAAGTAGATGTGGCTAGATTTTAGAAAAACAAAGCTGCATGCCACTGAAAATCAACTTATTTATACTGAAGTTGCTATTTTCTAATCATAAATCAACATGCCCAGCTTTTATATCTTCTTTCAATTTTATTTTTCCAAAATTGGAAATATGGTACAGGCCAATCCTTCGTTCTTGGTATCTCTCAGCCCCTCCAGGAGGGCTGCAGACACCCTACACTCGCAGCACAACCAGATCATGAGAACAGCAGCGTTTCCTTCGCCCCACTGAGTAGTTCAGAGATTACTCAAATGCATCCGCAACAGGTAGTTTACTCCCATGCCTTTTGGTAATTTACTCCCATGCCTTTTGGTGGCTGTTTGGCAACTTGAATATGCATTTTCATTCCCTCCTTTAAAGGAGCAAACAATTCCACAGACACAAAAGCTCTTTCACTACTTCAGGCTGCAATTGTCTATCGCACAGGTGCCTCCAGCCTAGCATTACTGTTCCACCTAACTTACCATTACTACCTTAACATCCAAAGGAATGACTCCAGCAAGTACAGACTATTTATGCAGCATGGCAGTTCGGAAAACAAAACTATATTGAACTTCATGTTCTAAATGGCCTGAATACCTATCTGCGTAAGACAGGCATGCACGTGCTTTAAATAAATTTATATGAACAATATCACATACACACACACCACCCAATGGAGATGGTATTAACATCAGAACGCAGGAGAAATGTTTAATGTGTGGAAAACCACCAGAACACTCAGAGTGCACTGGAAGGTATTTAAGTCGACAGGGTAAACTGCCATCCTTAAAAAAGGCATATATTTATTCAACTGATTACATGCTTCAATATCACAAGGGCACAGTTACCTTGAAACAGAAAACAGTAACAGATTATCATATTAAGAGATAAGATCAGTGAGTTGTAGTACAGAAATCCGTAATGCAAAAAACTGCCTGTGCTCAAGCTAAGGACTAAGAGGGAAAGTTCACTTCTACACAGCCATCCCAGCACATAGCCCACTCCGAGCATGGAAATAAAAGATAAAGGAGTGGGGGAAATAATTGCAGAGGTGGCATTAAGGAAGAACAGAGAAAATGAACAAATTTATAGCCATTTCTCTCCCCTATTTCCACACTTTTTTTTTCCCCTCAAAGCATGAGATACGTTCTACATGGAGACAGTCAGATCAATACCAAAAAGATTTAAGATTTCTCTGTCTCTACGACAAACATACTCATTTTCACGTATATGAAACCCTCCAATAGCTCTTCTTTATTGCTATAACACTACTAAAAGATTCATAAGCCAACTAGAGCATTAATCAACACATTTGACTACACTGCTACTACTACTACAAAAATGACCATCATAAAAAACTGCCAACCATATTTCAGTTGCATTTCTTTTCATCAGCAACTGCTTCAGCTAGGCAGTGTTTAATATAAAGAATCTGTTTTGCTTGAGATTTCAGTACTGTGTAGGGCACATGCATGTGAATATGAACACCTGTATAAGACAGGATGAGATGATTAATTTATAAGAGTGTTTCAAACAACTATAAGAAAATTAAAAGAAACACTAGATATTACTTTTATGTTCAATTAATTTAAGCTGAAGGAATTTATAAGACTGTTTCAAACAACTATAAGAAAATTAAGAGAAAGAAACACTAGATATTATTTTTATGTTCAATTAATTTAAGCTGAAGAAATTTCAAGCGTATCTTAAAACACATTTTAAAAAAGAATTCAAGAGAAAATATGACATTAGGATATCACCACCAAATCACTGGAGGAAAAAAAGGGATGCAAAATGTAAGATATTAAGTTGCAGCTTTGCTTGGAGCCAAGCCCTTACTGCCTCCAAAGCAAGCTGCACAGCTCAGCACTACAGCCCGTTCTTAGAGAAAGCGAAAGCTTGTGGCATCAGGGGTGTCTGTGGTCACAGATGTGGGCCTGGGCGCATTCAAAACCTGTTTTGCAAGGGACAGGCTTCCAAGGCCTTTTCCCAGCACAACAGTATGCCAAGGCTACAATAACATGGAAACTGAAAAATAAGAGAAAAAAAAAAAAAAAACCACACACCTCCTCTCCACCCACATACACACACAAAAAGGAACCCCTTCCCCCTCATATTTAGACAGCTCTGTGAAGTTTTCAGGAACTATACTGAGCAGCCTTACTTCTGAGTGAATATAATTCCCCTCCCCCTGTCCCTCCCCCCAAAAAGAAAGAATATTTCAAAAGGCAACTTCTTAAAGGAGGTCTTAGCTAAGAGAGAACAACAATTCATACAGAGCAAAGAAAAAAAAACTCCATTTGCAAAAATACAGATTTTTCACTCTAAAGACAAGCTTAGGAATCCTAGAAGGGGAAAAATATCTCAAAGTTTAATTACAACAGTTGTAAGGTACAAAAACATTTTCGAGTTCTCTAATTTAAGAAGGGTTGACACCTGGCCTCCCTGCCTTCTCATGCCGATTTACAACAAGGAGATTAACAGGAGTATCTCACATGATGCATCGTGTCTGTTGTATCATTAGCGTGGAACCATTAAAGTGTCACGGGTTGCATTTACATTCCCATTAAGTGTGTGAAATACTTTATGCTAAATATCTCCAGCCGCATACTTCAGGAAAATCGAGCACAGAAGCTGAGATCACATTTCAAATGGTAAATAAATTTTGCACAGTCCTCTAAAAACATTTGGTACCACCAAAGGGCCATTTAACCTTGTTATTTTAATTGAGCTACGGAGAAAAAATACCTACATTTTTAGTTCTAAAAATTAATTCCAACAAGAGAGTTAGTGTTTACATACATGCAAGTTGCATATGGGACAGAAAATGAACAACCCTTCACCTGATACCGCACCACCATGCCAATCTGCCTGACTACCTTTTTGGAGGGGGACAGGGATATTACTAAAGTATTACTAAGAGCTAAGCTCAGAAGAGTCAGGAAAACCCTATTTCTGAACGAAATGAGCTCCTTAATTTTAGTTCTATAGCACAGTCACAAAAACTCACCAGGCCAAGCCTATGCATTTTATATCCCTCTCTAGCTTACGTTTTTATCTTTTTAAAACAACCTCCGGCACCAAAGCAGAAAGTTTATCTAGTTGTGCCCAGTCTTCCCCCTGTAAAGACAAGAAGCTGTGACAGAAGGACCCGCAGTGCCGCCACTTGAAGAATCCACTGCGCTGCTCGCAGGGTGTAAAGGATTCCACTTCCCCACGTTGCGGCTCCAGCTCGCGCAGCGAGGCCAGCCGTTCCCGGGAAGCCCCCTCCCGCAGGGCACCCTTCCCTGCGCCCGGCCGTGCGCACAGACCTGTCCGCCAAGAGCAGCGCGCCCAGCGCTGCCATGGGCTCCGCTGCCACCTCAGCCCAGGTCTCAAGGGAGCTGCAAACCTCCTCAGATGGAGCTCAGCGCCCAGGAGCTGTTTCCCTGGCCAAGGTCACTCCCACACCAGAACGGGCTCGTGAGGAGGAGCGACGCGAGGCGGCCACACGAACGCCCTCCGAGACCTCATTACTACCCCGGGATCAAGGACACGGGACCTTCCTACTCAGCAGGTTCCTTCCCATCTTGCTGCCTTCACCGCCCACTTCTGCATTTGGGAGAAGGCACCAGGCAGGCTGGCAAGCCTCTGCTGCTTTTTTCTCCACTAGTTTATTTTCTTCTGCCAGCTTCTCTCTCCAATGCTGATACACAAAAAGTGCAATTTGGAATCACATTTCATTTGGGGAAATACCCACCTAATTTTATTTAGAATTCCTTTAGCCATTTATGCCATCCTTGTTCCTGACTTGCAAAGCTCCTCAGTGTTGCACCACCTTTGGTAGTTAGTCAATGCTAGTAAAATATAAAAATTATCAGCTTTTGAGGTTTCACAGCTAGGGTATTTGTAGTCTCTAGGAAACTTGATTTTTTTTTTTTGAAAACTATTTTGTGTTGCTGTTTTAAGACGGCTCCTTAGATAACATTCTACAGCGCACAGTATGTGAACTGCTGGCACACAGTATGGAATGAGGAAAGAGGTGGCACAACCTACACTGTGGCAGATTACTCTAGCACTGGTTAGGATTATTGTTTACAAATACAGAGGAATCTAAACAGCTTCCTTACTGTTAAAAAGACAGTTGCTTTAAAGAAAAAAAAAAGCAAGGGAATTAGGAAAGAAGTTATTGACCCAACTCCCATACAGACTAATTCAATTTGTTGCCAGCAGTTACTCAAAATTAATTTGCAAGAGCAAATTAATCTGTTAGGACTGCTAAAGACACATGCAGCATTTCCTGTGCTCGAGACGCAGGTTGACATTCAGACTTTAGTCTTCCAATTAAGAAGGTTATTTTGAATAGGATAATTAGAGTGGTCCTGTGAATTAGCAACTGCAGATCACATCCAGCCTCATGAACAGG